ATGCTACACCATGCCACGACACCCGACTGTGTTGATAGAGAGAAGATCTACGCCATGTTAGGGGATGGGAGGGAGGGAGGGGTAGGACGGCAGATAAGACGTTTGCGCACCTAGTTTGCCCCCCCCACCCCGCGCCCCGCACGTCGACCCCCGCCTCCTGCCTCCTGCCCGCTCGGCCCGCAGGAGCTCGCGCAGTACCAACAGGACGCGAAGGGCGTCTCCGTCCCCGAGAAGGCGAAGGCCATGTACGCGTACGCCAGGTCGAAGAATTTCGGGGACAAGGGCCGACCAGCGGCTGCGGGGAGCGGGGGCCTCCCCATGCGCCGTCGTCCTTCGTCCCCTGCCTCTCTTCGGGCTGCCTGCCCCCGCCCCCCCTCGCCCCCTTTTCCGCTGTCCTCGCCTCGCTCGCGCCTCGCCCTATCGAAGACGCAGCGTCGTTCGAGCGGGCCCTGAAAGGGGTTGGCGCCTCGCGACAGGGCGGCGGCAAGGTCGACAGCACCCTCCGCCATTCGATCTTTGGCCTGGGGCCCGGGGGGGAGAGGTTTCAGTTGATGGGCCGCTGTCTGGCCTGGGCCGACGTCTGGCGGCCTGTTCGTCCTCGAGGTTCGCCGTCGCAGCAACCTTCCTTCGACTGCACCCGCCCGCCCCTTCCTATGCTCCCGGCGTTGCCCTTTCAATTTCTTGCTTGCGCTGATCGTCGAGTTGATGTTGCCCATTGCTGCTGCGGCCGAGGGCGGTTCTGCCGCCGATGCCACTCTCGTGCTTCTTTTGACTTTTGGCAGGAGGGCCAGACGCCCCTGCCGAAGATCCTGGACAGGGTGCTCGCGAAGATGCTAGCCACGCCCGTCGGAGCAGCTTGAGGCTTGGCTTGAGCAAGGCTTGAGCCTGCGGGGCTCGGAGCTCTCGCAGGTTTTGACGCGACCCCCGCCGGAGAGGACGGGGGCCCCGGCCCGCGGGGCGGGCAGGGATGAGGAGGAGGAGGAGCGAGTGCGAGATGGGGCGCACTCGCTCCTCGGATTCGGGCGCGCCTGGGTGGAAAGACGCGCTCGCGCCCGCCTTCGTCCTATCCTTCTCCCAGGGGCTTTCGCAGCCCTTCTTTCCTTCTCTCCTTCTCGTCCTTCTCTTCGTCCTATCGTCCTATCCTATCCCCTATCCTTCTCTCCCCTCCCCCCTCGTCCTATCCTCCCTCCTCGTCCCACCCTTCGTCCTTCTCTCCTTCTTGTCCCCTCGTCCTCGTCCCCTCGTCCTTCTCTCCTTCTCTCCCCTCGTCCTATCCTTCTCTCCTTCCCTCCTTCTCGTCCTATCGTTCTCGTCCTATCCTTCTCCCCGTGCCGTAGTCACTGTCGTTTCGCGTCCTCGCCGCCGCTGCCGCCAATCCTGAAACCGATCCATTCTTCCAGCGGGCCATGTGAACCAGTGCGAACGTTTGCATGGCCACGTGCGCCGTTTTGGCCCCAGGTTGCGGCACTGCACATCTGCTCCTCGCCTGGCAGCCTGGCACTTGGGACTTGGGGCCCTGGGGATGGCGCCGAAACGATTTTGGCCTGGCTTCTATCCAGCCGTCCCCGCGGGCCTCACGGAGTCTCAGAGAGGGCGGTTCTTTCGTCTCCAGTCATTGCTGAGGAAGGAAAGGGTGAAGAACAAGTTCCTCAGCCAGAGGCTCAAGCGCTACCAGAAGAAGATGGAGGTGCTCGTCGATGTCGTAGACGACACGAAGATCAAAGACGAGAGCCTCGTGGAGAGCCAGCGTCGCGCAGTGGATACTGTCGACCGTGAGGACCGTGAGGCTCGTCAGGCAGCGCACGGCGAGTAGGTCCGGGCTGCCGTCTGCGCTGCGCTTGCCGACGGTCACGGTGCCCGAGCTGCGCCAGCGAACATCTTCATCATCATGATCGGGGGGCTCTTCATAACATTCAGTTGTGCTGGCACGTTCGCGGCCCCAAGAGGGCCCTCCAAGGGTGGACTTCGTGGCCCGTGATCCGTGGCCCGCGGCCCCAGGGGGGGGCCCGCTGGAGCCCGCAGAGAAGCTGGAATTCTTCACGCTTCGCGCGCCCCCCCCACCGGCCCATCCCCAAAACAGCAGCTTTTGCGAAGCATACCGACAGTTGTGATTTGCAGGCGCACCTCCTCCTGCCCTCGCATATGTCCCCCTGTTCCTCCTATCTCCCACCTACTTCCTTTTATCTCATCCTTTCCTTGCGGGAGGAGTGGAGGGGTCCGGCTGGAGGAGGAGGAAGAAGAGAAGACGACGGGGGGCGGGGGGAAGCGGCGACGCCGACGACGACGGCGAGGGCCACGATGACGACGACGCACCCGACGACGATAATGACTACGACGACCGCCACGACGACAACCGCGATGACGACGACGAAGACGACGGCGACGATGACGATGACGACGACGACCGACGACGACGACGACGACGACGACGACGACGTGGTGCGCGTTTCTTAAGATTCATGGAGGAGGAGGGGGACGCTCGTGCAATGCCCGCTGTGGCAACCCGCCAGGCCCCCAGAGGCCGTCGTCGGCACCCTAGCGGCCCTAGCGGTTGCCCTAACGGCGCCGCGGCGGTGCCACCCCTTGCCCCTCAGTGTGGCCCCCATGGCGACTTTTTGCCCGCTGGGGAGCCATTCTGGGGCGCGGCGGGGGGAATGGGTGATTCTGGTCCCCTCGGCGGTCCGCGGGTCCTCCATGCCGTCGAGCTCGGGCACCCTCGACCTAGGGTCGAGGGTGGCAGTGCGGGGGAGGAGGAGGACGAAGGATCCATGAACCCCGATACGGCCCAAACACATCCCCCTTGGGGCCCTCTTGGGCCGCTATTGGGGCGCCCTTGGGCCCGCTCTTGGGCCATTTTGGGGTCATCTTGAGGCCTCGAGAGCCCATCGGAAGCAAGAAGGCGAGACGACAACTAAACATAGATTTCCATACGAATTTGAAAACATTTGGGCCTCTCGGGTGCGTCCTTGGGCGGTTCCGTGGCCACTTGGAGCCGTCTTGGGACGGTCTATATTGAGTCATCGAAGGATATCTTGAGCGATTTTGGAGGTCATCTTGAGCTCTCTTGAGCCCTCTTGGCGCTATCTTGGCGCACCAACTACCCGCGGGCCCCCCCGTCCAGGCCAAGGGGGGGGGCAGGGGTGGAACGTAGCGGGCGCCCCTAAACCACTCACGCACTGAGGGCTGGTGGGATTATTTGATAGTTCGATCCACATAGTTTTATCTTCCATTCGTGCCGCAACAACCCTCTCCAAAACCATGGGTTTCGGAAATATATATTTGGTATTTATGGTCGGGCTCGCTGGGTTGGCTCTAACGGCCCCAACAAGTGTCTGTGTGTGTCTGTCTGTGTGTCTGTCTGTGTGTCTGTCTGTGTGTGTGTCTGTGTGTGTCTGTGTGTCTGTGTGTGTGTGTGTCTGTGTGTGAGTCTGTGTGTGTGTCTGTGTGTGTGTGTCTGTGTGTCTGTGTGTCTGTGTGCCTGTATACTTGTGTGTCTGTCTGTGTGTCTGTGTGTCTGTGTGTCTGTGTGTGTGTGTGTGTGTGTCTGTGTGTGAGTCTGTGTGTCTGTGTGTCTGCGTGCCTGTGTGTCTGTGTGTCTGTGTGTCTGTGTGTCTGTGTGTCTGTGTGTCTGTGTGTCTGTGTGTCTGTGTGTCTGTGTGCCTGTTTGTCTGTGTGTGTGAGTCTGTGTGTGTGTCTGTTTGTGTGCCTGTCTGTGTGTCTGTCTGTGTGTCTGTCTGTGTGTCTCTGTCTGTGTGTGTCTGCCTGTGTGTCTGTCTGTGTGTCTGTCTGTGTGTCTGTCTGTGTGTCTGTGTGTGTGTCTGTCTGTGTGTCTGTGTGTGTGTGTGTGTCTGTGTGTGTGTGCCTGTGTGTCTGTGTGTCTGTGTGCCTGTGTGCCTGTGTGTCTGTGTGTCTGTGTGTCTGTGTGTCTGTGTGTCTGTGTGTCTGTGTGTCTGTCTGTCTGTGCCTGTGTGTCTGTGTGTCTGTGTGTCTGTGTGTCTGTGTGTCTGTCTGTCTGTGTCTCTGTGTCTCTGTGTCTCTGTGTCTCTGTGTCTCTGTGTCTCTGTGTCTCTGTGTGTGTTTTTGTGTGCGTGCGTACGTGCGGGCGTGCGTGCGTGGCGTGCGTGCGTGCGTGCGTGTGTGTGTGTGTGAATGTGTGAATGTGTGAATGTGTGCGTGTGCGTTCGCGCGTGCGTGCGTGCGTGCGTACGTGGGTGCGTGCGTGCGTGCGTGCGTGCGTGCGTGCGTGCGTGCGTGTGTGTGTATATGGGTATGGCCAGGGTCACGACATCTCGCAGATGTCATGGCCCCTGCCTCTTCTTTCGGTGCGTCCCCTGACACCCCTCGCCCGCGCATCGCATACGGTAGGTTCATGCGGCGTTAGCGCGCCGGCGACGCCGGCGAAGGCGTTCAAGGTTGAATTCTGTGACGCGGAAGCACCGATGGACACGGTAACGCCGCTGAACCCGAAGTCATCTTTAAACGATCGGGGCCGCGATCGATTCAGGGTTGAGCGATCGGCGCGGTGTCAACAACTCTTGCGCATGCCGACGCCGCACGCGTTCACCGTGAATGCCTTGGACATGATGCGCCAATCTCCCTCGTCTCGGCCCCGCTTCCCTGGCGCACCAGAGAGAACCCTAAAGTGGCATTCTGCTCACACCGGGTGCTCTCTCGGGGCATCGGGCCCCCCTGGGGCCCTCGAGGCTCGACCCGGCTCGAGGCATCTGCCGCAGAAGCGTGGGGTGTCCAGGGCTCCGGGTCGTGTTCCTCGCGGCGTTGTACAGTGCAGACCCATGCCAAGACATACGCTGCTTGCCTCCAGGGTGCCCTGGTTGTCTTGGATTTCGATTGTTTTTCTACGGGAAGCGTGACGTTCCCACGTCAAGAATCAATGGACGTCCTGGGGTCTCAGGGTCGGATTCCTTGTGGAAGGTTTCTTGTGGTCTGGCCTCCACTGGATCTGCGTCGCGGTTTCGGATCTCAGGGTTACTTGGCGGCCCGCGCAAGGGAGTGCCGTCTGGGGGGCGTCCTTGTAAGAAGAAGGGGGAGGCCTTCTCAGAAGGCAAGGGCAGTACTGGAAAGTCTCGGAGGCTTCAAAGAGAAGCTTTCAAGAAGGCTTGTTAGAGTCTCCGTAGCCATGTTTGGCGCAAGCGTTACGGCTCAAGGGTAGTGACCAGGTTGCACCCAACGCACCCGCTCTGTCACGAATCGTCGCCACGTTCATCATCTCCTCTGATATACGTCTGTTCTTACATTTGAAGAGCGATCTTACGACCGTTCCGACGACATCGGTGCGCAATTCGGATCCCCAAGGCTACATGGTTGGAGTTTTTGCAGCCGTGTGCATCACTTGCGATCTGCTCCTCTCGTGCCTGTCACGGCTCTCTGGGACGCAGCTGCAGCAGCTGGGCAGCATGGTGGCGCTCTCGGCCACGATGTTCTTCATAGGTTATGATGTTCCAACCTTATTTAGCCATGATCACCAGAAAGAATTTCGAGCACCAAGAAAGTACCGAAGCTGGAGGCTTTTCACGTGTCGGGCCCTGGCAGGCGATCCTCGTCCGACACTGCTTCGATACTTTTTGGGTGCTCGAAATTATTTTGGGTATGTGGTTCCTAAGTACGATGGGAACATGACTCACAGGGCTTGCGAGCCAGACGTACGAGCAGGTACCGGCCGGGCCTGCCGGCGCTCCTCCGGCAAGACCGCTCGAGCAGGGCAGCAGCGCCGATGGCGAGTGCGCGGGCAGGGCCAGGCAGCAGGCTTCGGGACGACCGCAACGGGCATGGACAGGATGGGATAGCGCCGATCTAGCGCCGACTTAGCGTCGGTTCGCGTGGATTTAGCGTAGTTTTAGAGTCGACTAGCGTCGACTAGCGTCGATTCGCAAGAGCCGTCAAGATGGTATGGGAGGCTCCCATGAGTTGCCACTGGAGAAATGGGCAAGGAAAGAAATGATACGATGCCCAACACAGGTGTTCTTGTTCCTTCTGGACAGGACTCGCCGTCCGCGCCGCCGCGGACGTCGTTCTCTGAACACGAGAAGCCGCCTGCCCCACAGCGGCCGCCTGCCGCTTTTGGACAGCATTTGTTGTTGGGCACTGTATACCCATGTTTTCCGTACCCGCCTGCCCTGCATATCAAGGCCCCCCCTCCCCTCCCCCTGAGAGCTTAACATCCCCGGCCAGTGCAGATTTGGTCGGGGAAGGGGGCGGTAAGGCCGCATTCGATGATCGCAGGGGAAGGCTGCGAATCGAAGTTGCACGTCGGGCGTCCACAGCAGGCCGCAGGGGGCAGCGCTCCCGCCGCGGCGGCGGCCCTTGCGGCGCGGCCCCGAGCCGAGCGCGGGGCCCGCCCAGCGGCCTGGGCCGAGGAGCCCCAGCCCGAGCCGCCCGAGAGGCCGCCGAACGTCCCGCGGTTTTCGGAGGAGGAAGATCATCGAGCAGTGGCGGAGCGTCCCAGCTCGCCTATGGGCCCACCAAGGAATGTTCTTAGAACCTTGAACTGGTCTGCACGAAATCGTCTTAGAACATTTCTGGCTGAGACCGTCTTGTTTTAACACATCGGGCTTAGGTTCTAAGAACATTGTTTTTGTTTTTTTTCTGACATTTTCTGGTTCCAAGAGCATGTCGTGGTAGGCGTACAGGAATGCCGGGAAGGTCGACCCCTGCTCAAGAATCACCACCTACCAAACCACCCCAGCCCAACCCGAAAGCCCCAATTTGGCCCCCTTGCCCACTGGGGGGGGGGGGCGTCGAGCCCGTACCCCCCCAACCTGAAGTTCGGGTCTTCGGGTTGAGTTGGGGTGGTCTGGTAGGTAGGAAAGGTACCCCATACTGCTACCCTCCTCCCGTTTTCCCCGTTTTAGGCCTCCTGGGAGGTCCTCGTCGCCACCGCTGGATTCGCCTCGAAGTCCTGGTCAGAACGCACCGCGGGAGAGGTCCGGGGGGTGACGCTGTCGGTACCTTCTGGTGCCCCCAGGTTTGTCTCTCGTGGCCTCGCTGACGCGCGGGTCGCCGCAGAGGGCGACGACGTCACGCAGGGCCCGACGCTGAGCTCGGCCATGCGCCCGCACACAGCAGCCGACGCCGCAGGCTCCCCGAGGGAGGGCGGGAAGGCGTGCCACTCCTCGACGGCCTCCACGATCGGCCAGACAGACGCGGCCGGCGACGCGGAGGAGGCGTCCGCAGATGGGGAGCTGGGACACCTGTCAATTGCCACCGAGCGCACGCCCCTGAGCAGAGGGGCGTCGACGTTCGTTCCGAAAACCTTTGAGAATCCGTTGCGGGTGCTGCCCGACGCGTCGGCGGGGTGCAGTCAGGACCCCTACGCTCCGGGCCAGTACGATCAGTTCCCGCAGACCGCAGCGCAGCAGATGGACCCCTACGCTCTGGGCCAGTACGATCAGTTCCCGCAGACCGCAGCGCAGCAGATGGACCCCTCCGCTCTGGGCCAGTACGATCAGTTCCCGCAGACCGCAGCGCAGCAGATGGACCCCTACGCTCTGGGCCGGTACGATCAGTTCCCGCAGACCGCAGCGCAGCAGATGGACCCCTCCGCTCTGGGCCAGTACGATCAGTTCCCGCAGACCGCAGCGCAGCAGGTGGACCCCTACGCTCTGGGCCAGTACGATCAGTTCCCGCAGACCGCAGCGCAGCAGGTGGACCCCTACGCTCTGGGCCAGTACGGTCAGTTCCCGCAAATCGAAGCGCAGCAGATGGGAGGCCCGCACGACGAGTGTACCACGGTGATGCTGCGCAACATACCATGCCCCTTCCTCCGCGAAGATCTAATCAATGCGATGGACGCGAAGGGCTTTGCGGGCCTGTATGATTTCGTCTATATGCCAATCGATTTCCGGACCTCGATGGGCATGGGCTATGCGTTTGTCAATTTCGTTACCGCCGCGGAGATGCAGCGCTTCACGTTCGCCTTTCAGGGATTCAAGGATTGGCATGTCAAGTCGTCGAAGGTCTGTGCCGTTGTCCTGTCTCGGACGCAGGGCCTATTCGCGAACATCGCTCGGTATCGGAACAGCTCTGTCATGGGCGACGGGGTTCCTGAGCGGTTCAAGCCAGTGCTCTTCAACGGGACAGAGCGGGTCCCCTTTCCAGAGCCCTCGGCAGAGGTGTCAAATTTTGTGCGTGATATTGACTTCCCGCAGATGACAATGCAGCCAAAGGAACCTCAGCGCGACGAGCGCACAACTGTGATGCTGCGCAACCTGCCAAGCTCCCTCCTGCGCGAAGATTTGATCAAGTTGCTGGACGCGGAAGGCTTTGCAGGGATGTATAACTTCGTCTACATGCCCATACACACTTTGACCGAGGTATGCATGGGATACGCGTTTCTCAACATGGTTAGCACTGCGGAGGTGCAGCGCCTCACGATTGCGTTTGAGGGATTCGATAATTGGCCTGTCCCGTCTTCGAAAGTCTGCAGCGTCAGTTTATCTTCTCGGATACAAGGCCTGGGCGCAAACATCGCTCGGTATCGAAACAGCCCTGTCATGAGCGTCGGGGTTCCTGAGCGGTTCAGGCCAGTGCTCTTCGACGGGACAGAGCGGGTCCCCTTCCCAGATCCCACGAAGAAATGTAGGTTTGACATGCGTGTTGAGCGTATGTATGCCCCCCCTCGGATCGACAATGGGCATCTATTTCATTCGCACCGATGATGGAGTGATTATCTGCCCCGAGGGCGTCTCTCGTTTTTATTTGCTGGAGTCACGCTGACCAGCGACCCAGGTCACACCGCACAGAACTCCCACGACGACGACAACAGCGACGACGACGACGAGTCGGCTGCATGTTTTTTCCCCTCGCGCTGCTTGGCGCTCGAGCTCCTGCGCGCCCTCGTTAGAGTTAAATCGTGCACGTCCTCTACAGGAGGAATTCTCAAACATAGGAAAAATAGCCTGGGAACGATCGTTCTACTATGTTTGACAAGTTTGAGATATTGTTCGACTATTTTACTTGTCGTCCAAAATCCGCCTGTAGGGGGACATGCCCGACCTAGCGTTAGAGTTGATTGTGCACCCTCCCTCTTCCTCCCCCCGCCCGTCCTTCCCGTCGAGCCTCGAATCCGAAATTCTAGACGCTTCGCGTATCCCCACCAGCCACCAGGATTTCCACGCCACAGGGTTTGGGAGTATCGGTTCTGCCTCTTCTCCTGAGTGGCTGCCCGGTCGCTCGCTTCGCTTGCCTTTTTCTTTTTGCTGCCTAGTCTCGGCCCTAGCCCTACTAGTGTTTGGACGTCTTTCGACCCGCCTCGCGAGCCTGTTGACCAAAAGTATCCCCACCAGCCCATCCGGAAGCGATGTCCAGGCGAGTTGAGGTGATTAGAGAAGTGCGGGAGCAAAGAGGGGGACGGCCGAACCGTGCGAAGGAGGGAGGAGGAGAAGGAGGAGGTTGGATGGATGGATGAGGGAGTGGGGAGAAGGAGGATGAATACGATGAAGAGGAGGAGGAGGAGGAGGAGGAGGAGGAGGAGGAGGGCACGCAAAAGGGCCAGAGGTCTCTTAGGGGAAGACGGATGGTGGAAGAGGAAACTCCCTAAACCACCTACGCCCAGAGGGCTGGTGGGACTTCCAGATTTCCCCCTCGGCGCGCCGCTGAGTGTAGCCCTGCTTCTGAGGGCTCCGCGGATGTCTGACGTGTTTTTTGCTGATTCGTTGTGCCGATGCGTTGTGTTCTCTCCCCCGATCGGGAGGACGGAGTTTTCTTGCAGTCGTGCCGCTGAAGAAGGAACCCTTTTCGTTGGGGAGGGGCTCAGTGTTCCTGAATTGGTTTATCGTTTTGTTTGTTTCGGTTTTCCTCCGGTATTGTATGGGAACTCGAAGCTTAAAGTATGGAAAAAAGGGCCCTCGTTCCTTGTCCAGGGTTCCTTACGACAGCGTTTCGACTGTACACGTTTGTTTTGTGCTCCTGAGTCCAGTCCGGCGCGGCGAGGGCATGCGGCAGCGCGTGCGCGGTGTGAATGGTGGATGGGTTTGCGTTCCTCGGCGGACGACCAGGAGAGGCAGGGCGGGGACGAGAAAGGGGGTGGGGGTGGTTCTGGGCCTCCCAGATTGGGGGGGGGATGATCGCGCCGCATCGCCGATACATCGGCGATGCGACTCGATGTGGAGCCCGCTTTCCTCCACGCCGACGTCGCCGATGCGTCGCCGACGTCGCCGTTGCTTCGCTGATGCATCGCTGACGCATCAGCGATGTATCGCCGATGCATCGCCGATGCGGGGCGATCCTCCGACCTCATCCACTCCGACCCCGTCTAGGAGGCCCCCAGGGCAAGAGGGTGGTGGTGCTGTGGGCGGGCATCCCGGGAGAGGGGGCAGAGGCCAGCGAGCGCCAGCGAGGCGCTGCCGGCAGACCGCCCGCGGGGCGGTGCGAGCTGCTCACGGCCTGGCCGCAGCACGCGCGGCCCGCTCCGCGCGCGCGGTCCAGGCTGTGGAAGCGTGGGCGATCCCCCCGCAGGCTGACCTCGGATAGCGCCAGGGTAGCCACTCGAGTCGCCTCCGAGCCAGGCCATGCCCGGCCGCCCGCGCGCGGCGCGCGTGCGCACGCCGGTCCGCGCGAGGAGGGGCGGGAGCGCGCCTCTCCAGGCGGGGCCGCTGGGATGCGTACGTTCGGCTCGGGCCAATCCTCGGCAGCTGGGCTTCTTCCAGTGTCCACGACGCCGCGTTCGCCGAGAGATCCATTCAGGCCCAGTGCTTTCCTTCTTGCCCGAAGTTTCAATGTCATAATGCTTCAAGATTTTGAATGCCGCCGAGTTGTCCGGTGATATTTCCTGGACTAGGAGCCGCCTCACTATCTGCCTTGACCATGATGGATACCCCCCAGATTCCGAAGACCGCGTGCGATTGCACGCGCCAAGCTGCTCCAGCTCCGCTGTCGCCTGCTTAATTGAACTATCCCGTTCGCGCAGCCGCCGTCGGCATGCGCCACCAGCGCTTGTTAGGTAATACGCGACAAGTTTTATAGTGCATGCTTTTGTTTGCTGGCCACCTTGAGCTACATAATGACGTATTTGACATCGCCAAAGACGGCATAAACAGAAGCGCTTCTCGGAAGCTGGGTGAACCTCCGGGAGGCCGCCTGCCTTCTCAGAAGACCCCCCCCCGTGTGAGAGAAGGCCGCCCTCTCTCCTCCGCGCCACCCCAGCAGGCGCACCAGCAGCTGCCTCAGCCCTGGGCGCCGCCACAGAAATCCTATAGGGGTGTTGGTGAAGGACTGTGCCCAGGAGGCTTCAGACCCTGGGGGATTCCTTATCTCATGAGGGCGGCGGCGATCTCCGTGGCCAGTCCACGATTGGAGCCCCACTGGCTTCCAGACCCTGGATTCCTTATGCACTGGTTCCTTATCCAATGCCCGCACGAACATTTTGGCTCAAGCGTTCGCAAGCCTGGCGCTCGGCCCGTCGTTCCCGCGATGGCTGCTGCGCGCGCGGCTAGAGGTGCTCTGGATCCCGCGTCGGCGGCCCTCCTCGTCGAGGCGGCCGTGCGCGGGGCGAAAGGGCTGCCGAGGCGCACGGTCGCGGCGGTGGCGAGGTCGGCAGTGTCGGCGGCGGCGTTCGCCGTCACGGCACCGCCCCCGCCCGCCGCGGCGGCTGGCGCCGAGGAGCAACAAGGTGAACGTCCTGGCGGTGGCGCGGACCCTGCGGCGCGGGTGGAGCGGCGGCGCCGCCGCCGCCAGCGTCGTGCGGCGCGGCGTGCAGCCGCCAAGATGGACACCGACACGGAGGAGGCGGAGGCCGCTGGGGCGGCTGCTGGTGCTGCGCCTGCGGGCCCTGGGCTCGCGCTGGTGGCTGTGGCGGCCGCCGTGGCCGCCGACGCCTCCGACGACCCGATCGACGACGACAGCTGGGCCGATGGCCTCGTGCGCGGCGTCGGCGGAGGGGTGCAGGGGGCGGCGGCGGCTGCTGGGCCGCCTGCCCCCGCCGAGGGCGACGAGCGCGCTGCCCTCGTCGCGACGCTCGCCGAGGTCCCCGAGGGGTGCGGAGAGCTCGCGGCCCTCCACGCGCAGCTCGTCGAGGCGGGCGTGGACCCGGATGACCCGCAGGTGCTGAGCCTCGTGGAGCACGGCGACGTCGCGACGACCCGCCTGTTCGTAGCGGGGGCTCGCGCCTTGGCCGCGGGCGCCTCCGGACCTCCGCCGTCCGCCGCGCCGGCCGCGGGCGCCTCCGGTGCGGGGAGGGGCCGCAGGCAGGGGGCGCGTCCCTGAGCTCGGCGGCCCCGCGGCAGGTGTAAGTCCGCGGGCAGGCGCGTCGTTGCTAGAATTTGTGTGCATGTTAAGCCCCAGGGTGATAGGATAAAAAAAAAATGTCCGCACGAACCCGTAACCATTTTGGCTCAAGCCTGCTCGGGCGACCGCGGTGCGGGCGGCTGAGAGATGGCGGCGGGGGGCTGCCCGCCTGAAAGGTGGCCCATGCGCATGGATGAAAAAAACTCGGCTCGGAACCACAGCGGCGCGGCGTGAAGCGCGAAGCAGGCGGCTGATGGTTTGTGAAGCTGGTCTACGCCGAGCTCTTGGGGACAGGGACTGAACCAGGCCCGATTCGCGGGGGGATCGCGAGGCGGCATCCCGCCCAGCCCTGAGAGCGGCGGCTGCGGGAAAGAGAGTCTGTGGCAGCTCCCGTCTTCGCCGCAACGTGGCGCGGCATGCTGCTCAGCCGCCTCCCTGCGGGCTTGCACGGGCCTAGAGGGCGGACCTCGCGCTGGCGGTTACGGGGCCACGTCTGGCGGCCTTTGGCGGGGGCGCGTTTGGACCCGTGTGCGAGGCGCCGGAGGTGCAGAGCCAGGGAGCAGGCGGTGATGCGGGCAGAGTGCTGCAGCCCACCGCGAAGGTGTGTCAGCCGCTCGCGGCGCGCCCGGTCCAGCAGCTGCAGTCCCGTGCCCCAGGGGTCTGGTCAATTCGCGACGAGGTGGCCGAATGCCGCGCGCTGGCATTCGGGCTTGGCCTGGAAGCTGGATGGCGGCTGGCGGCTTCCGCTCGCGGAGGCAGTGACGGGGGTCAGTCGAGCGCGGAGGGCGCGGTCTTCGCGGACCCTCCGGCCTCCTCCCTGGGCCTGGGGACGATTGCGACATCATGGGCGTCGAGGTCGTCGGGGTCGTCCGCGACGCGGAGGGCGTCGGCTTCGGCGAGGCGGGCTGCTCGTCAGTCGAGGACTCGTCGGAGTTGCACACGCGGGAGGAGTACGAGCAGAAAGACGCCGAGGGCGAGTTGGCGGGCGGCCCCTTGTCAGCCCGCTGTTGGAGGCCGGGGCGGATGCCGAGCTCAGCGGCCTCGTGTTCGGCATCCTGGAGGGATTCGACCTCTCCATGGCCCACTAATTCGACCCCTGCTACGAGCTACTCAGCGAGGCGGTATCCGCACACCTGGAGGTCATGGGCGTTGCGCGGTCGCCCTGGACTGATGGCGGGGCGCAGGCCTTCGTTCGTGCGCGGTTACGTGGAAGGGGAATACGGTGCGCAGCTTCGATTGCGGAGGTGGCAGAGCGGCCTGCGACGGCCATCCGCAAGCGGCCTGCGGCGGCTCCTCCTGCTGGCCCGCCCGCGGCCCCGCTGGCGCCAGATGGCGAGGCAGCGGCCGAGGCCATGCGCCGAGAGGCCCGAAGGCTGCAGCTGGAACGCGCTCAGCCGCGAGGCGACGCCGAGCCGCGGCCCGAGGCCCAGGAGCCGAGCGGGGCGGGGGCTAAGGTGGCTGCCGAGCCGAGCACGCGGCCGCGGGCGGTCCACGGGCACCAGCTCATGGAGGGCCAGGTGCCCAGCAAGTCCTCCAGGCCCGTTTTCGTGTGCACGGCGCGCTTCGTGCACGCCAGGGCGCCGAGGATGGCCTGGCGGGGCTTGCGCGACCCATGCCTCGGCGCGGAGCGTCGGCCAAGAAGGATTCGCGTGCCCAGGCGAGGAGCGACCTCGACAAGAGGGTCCTCCCTGGCACGAAGGAGGCGATCGGGGACCTCCAGCCGCCCTCGGCGGCCGCGCGGGGGCGCTGGGCCGAGAAGCTCGGCGTGGACGCGGGACCTGGAGGCTGGATCCAGCGGCCCTGGCTTGCAACGGCGCGCGGGCGCTGGTGCGGCGCCTGGGCCAGGCGCGGCGGCGGCGCCGAGCTCGGGGCTCATCGTTCCTCAGCTCGCGTGCGCGGCCAGGTCCCGTGGCTTCGCAAGCGCGGAGGCTGCGCGGGCGCCAGGGCGAGAGGCCCGCGCCGAGCGCGCGGCGGCGGCGCGCGGGGGCGGGGGGCCCCAGGAGGACGAGCCATAGCTATGAGTGACTTGCTCCTGGGGGCCCCGCCTGCGTTCGCAAGTCGAATTGATTGCAAGGGCCCGCCGTGGTCTGCGAAGAGCTGAAAAGAATGCCCGCGCGAAGACGGACGGCTGTGTTCCGCGCTCTCGTTGAAGCCTGGGGGCCCGCGGCCGGCCCGGGGGCGGCCCGCGGCACGATCGGGGCGCGAGGCCGGCCGGCCCTGGGGAAGGGTCGGCGCGATTGCACAGCGGGTGTGGCTCCAGCGGGGGTGTGCAGCTCGCGGGGGACGGAGGTGTCAGAGGCCTGGGGGTTGACGCCAGCACCAGTATCGGCGGTGTGCTTTCACCGAGGGAAGATGATCCCGATCTCGGTGCTGGCGGTACTGCTCGGGCTTCCCAGGTGACCCGAAAACTTACCACCAACACCAAAACCCATTTCCAAGCTTCCAAAGGTGTTCCGCCAGACAATGAGAACAAACACACCCAACAAAGCTTTGGGGTTGGGCGAGGATCCCGGTCGTCGGTTGGGTGTGCGGAGTGCCCAGCCCTGGGGCGTGGTTTTTGTATACTGACCGCGCGTGCCCCTGGGCGGTGGAGTCAGCTCGAGGCGGGCAGGATTCGAAGCAGAGTATTGGCGCCCACCCCGCCATGCAGCGCTAATGCACGCACGCATCTGGCGGTGCCAGTGGACGGTCCAAAGGGATCCCCCGACGTCCCACAGATGGCCCAATGGTGGAGCCAAAGGTTTCCGCGATCGGCGCGACTGGGGCTTCGGGGGTCACCAAGTCGGCCAAAGGTTTGCCGAACCCTCGTCGCGGCGCGGCAGAGACCTGTGCCGGGGTTTTCGCCCGCCCCCCCCCCACCCCCCCGGCGCGGGTTGGAGGCCACACCCTCTGCAAACCACGCTTCGGGGCTGCCACGAGGGGGTTGAAATCCGCAGGGGCCTTATTTCGGAAGAGATGGACCCAGACATCCGACGTACTGGGGAAGTCTAGGCGGCGGTTTCTTCGCCGTCTTCGGCCTCGGGCGGGGTGTCTTCGGGCTTCCCTCCGCCCCTTCCTGGTTGGTGCTGCTGCCGTGTAAAAAAGACGGGGCCCCGCCCCCCCCAACAAAAAAACGCGAGGGGAAAACACAAAGACGAGATCCCCCAGAGGGGAACAACAAAAAAGACACGAGGGAAAGAAAGAGAGACTATACCCCGACCTTGCGCCCCAGACCTCCCGGTCATGAGAAAGAGATGCAGCGGAAGGCGTGTCTCTATATTGCGAAGGCCTTACGGCCGGCGCCGCCGACCCTGAAGGGGGACGGCGACGACGACGACGACGACGACGACGACGACGACGATGTCGACGACGACGACGACGACGACGGCGACGTCGACAACGACGACGACGACGGCGACGGGGCGGAAGGCGCGTCTCTCTATTCTCAGCCCGTTCGGGCCCTTACACCCGGACCCGGGACCATCCAGCAGCGACTATCGGGACGCGAGGCGGGTCCCAGGGAACGGGTCGAGACCCTCGGGCGGGTGGTGCTTGGGGCTGACCCACCTGGGGGGGGGGGTGAAGCAGAGGGGAGCCCCACTCGGGGCCCTCGAGGGCCCCCCCGCCCCCCTTGGGCACCAGCTGCCTCCAAGACCGAGGCCTTCGGGGGGCCGACGCTGCGACGGCCTCGCGCGTCGGACGGCCAGGGGGTCCCACAGGCATGGCACCGCAGCACCACCCGCTGCCGGCGGGCGGCCTCCACCCGCTGCCGGCGGGCTGCCCCCTCACCCGCAAGGGGGACATTGCCCCGGTCGGCGGGCGGCCTCCACCCGAGGGGCGAAGGCGGTCGCCGCTCTCGGCGGCCGTGGTCGGGGAGCCACACGCGAGCCGTACACCAGATTTCGTAATAGAAGGGAGGGGGTCTCATTTCGGGGGGGGTCTCTTCCAGGCTATCTTGGGGGGTCTCATTTCGGGGGGGGGGTCTCATTTCGGGGGGGGTCTGGGGGGGGAGGGTTCTCCCACGGGGGGGGGGTCTGAAATGGCTTGTCTTGGAGGGTCCAGACCCCCTCCCTTTTATTACGAAATCTGGAGTACACATGTTGTGGATTTCTAAGAGCACTCGAGGGTTCTTCGATCTTGGGGGGGGGCCAGGGTCCTTTCCTTTCCGATTGTGCCATCCTGGGCCCCTTCCTGGCCACTGGGGGGCCAGGGACACGTGGAAACGAGCACAAGTAGGAACGAGCACGATTGGGAATGAACGACGTGTACCCCGATACCCCACGATTTCTGAGGGGGAGGGTGGCGTTCCCTTCGCTTGCCCCCCCCCCGCCCTGCCCCTCAGGACTCGTGGGGGGTAGGGCTACAGGGCATTCGCATGTGGCCCCCCCCTAGTGGTGGCCCCGTGCGGCCCGCCGGCTCTCGGAGAGCGCGGTCGCGCCCGCGCCCGCTGCGGGCCGGCAGCGCGCAGGCCTCCGTCAGCAGGGAGGCGTCCCGTGGGCTCGGGACGACCGAGATGGGCACGGGAAAGGCAGGGGGGGGCGGCGATGCAGAAGCGGGGTGCGATGTCCGACCTGAGGCTGGCGCTCCGTGCTGGGCCCTGGTGCTCACCGGCCTGAGACTGTCAGCATGGTTTCACCGATCCCTGCCTCGGAGGGGGGGGGAACGAAAAGGTACCCACACCGCTGCCCTGCTCCCGTTTCCCCTTTTCGAGGGCATCCTGGGAGGCCCTCGTCGCCACCGCTGGATTCGCCGCGAAATCCTGGTCAGAGCCAGGGAGTAGCGGTATCGGTACCGCTTGGTCTCTCCAATCAGCAGGGAGACATCCCATAGACTCGAGACGATCGAAATGGGTACGGAAAGAACGGGTACGATGCCCAACAGCAGTTTGCGATGGCAAATCATGGGGACCTGGCATGTCCCCTCAATTCCGTCTTTAGCGTCTACTGGCGTCGATTAGCGTGTGGGAGACGATGCGATAGTGCCGACTTAGCGTCGATTCG